ATATATAAAAACATTGATTGAACATTCTTTTTATACATTTGTGTGTGTATACATTTGTGAAAGACAAAATATATCTTTTAACAGAAAAATTCAATGTCATCTCTTATAGTGAAAATGTGTTTTCTCTGTCCTATTGACCTGTCAAGTAATGGAACACTCAGTGTAAAGTTCAGCCTACAATGGATTACTGTTTTACATTTTGTTTGGCTTCTCCTGCATGCTTTGAGTCAGCCATGTGTTGCTATGGTTAAGGGTTGCCTGGATGGAATTTCAAGGGGGTTGCTCCTGGAACATGCTCTCCACAGTTTGGACTTCCCTTTATAGAAGTGACTGGATTTAGCTCCAGATAGAGTAACTGAGAAGCTACAGAGGGGATAGCAAGCACGCTGATTTAAGCTAAACTTTTCAGAGGATAAATGCCAGGTAAGCTGGAGAGATAGAAATACCCTCAAATTATCGAGATCCCAATTGTGAGCTCAAAAATATATCCAAAAACATATTAGAATTATAACAATTTTTAATCTTGTATGAAACTACACATAAATATACACACATTTAAAAAGCTATCAACTTTAAATGGCTATGTTGGCAATATGACAAACCCAATGGTTATAATGGCTCTGCAAGCCGAATTTCGATCTGCAGCAGGTTAGGCAAATAGTATACCTTCATTCAGCAATGTATATTGTATTCATCTGGTATCAATTTGTTGGTATGTTGTTATATTGGCAATATGGCAAACATAATGGTAATAATGGCTCTACAAGCCTGATTCCGATCTGCAGCAGGTTAGGCAAATGGTATACCTTCATTCAGCAATGTATATTGGTTATAATGGCTCTGCAAGCCTGATATCGATCTGCAGCAGGTTAGGCACATAGTATACCTTCATTCTGCAATGTATATTGTATTCCTCTGGTATCAATTTGTTGGTATGTTTGTAGGGATGTCCCGATTACCAAAGCTAGCATCGGTATCGGGACCGATACAGGACATTTTGACAAGTACTTGTACTTGTCAAAATGCCCCGATGCAGAGCGACGATGCTTGCGCTGGTTTGTTTTTTCTCTGTACCTTCCGAGGTGCCGAATGCTTTTCCTCACATGTGAGGACGTCGTCGGCGCTGAGCGGAGGAGCGTTGTGTCACTGCTGTGGGGTGGGGTCCTAATGTAGTTGGCCAGTGACTGCCCAGAGGACCCCACCTGGAGCGCAGCCCACAGCAGTGATGCGACGCTCAGCCGCTCAGTGCCACCGCCGTCCTCACATGTGAGGAAAATCGTGAGGCACTGCGATCTAGGCAACAGTAAGTAAGACGGGGGCCTGGGCTTAGTGTTTTGTGTGAACAAGAAGAATCTATTGCTGCAGTGTGTTCTATATGTACTGTACATGTACTACATATAGAATGCACTGCAGCAATAGATTTACAATTCTGCACTGCTAATATGAAGGGGTTAAATGATCCAAAGTACATAACATGTGCATAACATGTAGTTGTACTATGGATCATTTAACCTATTCATGTTAGCAGGGGATACTTTTAAATCTATTGCTGCAGTGCATGCTATATGTAGTACATGTACAGTACATATTCCCAATTCACTGCAGCAATAGCTTTACAATGATCCCCTGCTAATATTAATAGGTTAAATGAACCATAGTACAACTACATGTTATGTACATATTATGTACTATGGATCATGATTTAACCTATTCATGTTAGCAGGGGATAATTGTGAGCGCCTCCCACAAGCTGAGCACCAAGACGCGATGCAGCGATCCTGCCCATTGCCCACTACGAGAGGCACCGCGTGAGGCAACAGGGATCGGAGTGAAACTGTGAGTGAGGGACGCTGGGACAGGGCTGGTTGTAAATCTATTGCTATAGTGTACTGTAAGTGTGTACTGTATATGTAGTACATATATACAGCACACACCTCCACTACACTACAGCAATAGAGTTACAATTCTCCCCTGCTGACTTGAATAGGTTAATTCATGATCCATAGTACATAACATGTAGTTGTACTATGGATCATTTAAAGTCACCTGTCCCTTTAAAAAAAAGTATTGGTAATTGGTATCGGCAAGTACATGAGGGGAAGTACTTGGTCTTGAAAAAGTGGTATCGGGACATCCATACTATGTTGTTATATTGGCAATATGGCAAACCTAATGGTTATAATGGCTCTGCAAGCCTGATTTCAATCTGCAGCAAATTAGGCAAATGGTATACCTTCATTCAACATTGTATTCCTCTGGTATCAGTTTGTTGATATGTTGTGTAACATGCAAGCAGATACCTTGTATATCTTCTGTTATATTCCTTTGGTGTCAGTTTGTTAATGTTTTGTATAACATCCAGGCAGCTACCTTGTGTCTTAGGAGTGTTGTCTCCTGATAAACATCCATTGGAATACCACAGTCTCCATGAAAAGGACTTACAATGTCTAGAAAGCTTTACCTTTAGTATATCAGAGTCTGGCTGTATCTCTCCAATGACTCCACATACATATCACTCCAATACAGAGTCTGACTGTATCTCTCCAATGGCTCCACATACATATCACTCCAATACAGAGTCTGGCTGGATCTCTCCAATGGCTCCACATACATATCACTCCAATACAGAGTCTGACTGTATCTCTCCAATGGCTCCACATACACTCCACATACATATCACTCCAATACAGAGTCTGACTGTATCTCTCCAATGGCTCCACATACATATAACTCCAATATAGAGTCTGGCTGTATCTCTCCAATGGCTCCACATACATATCACTCCAATATAGAGTCTGGCTGTATCTCTCCAATGGCTCCACATACATATCACTCCAATACAGAGTCTGGCTGTATCTCTGCAATGGCTATACATACATATCACTCCAATACAGAGTCTGACTGTATCTCTCCAATGGCTCCACATACATATCACTCCAATATAGAGTCTGGCTGTATCTCTCCCAATGGCTTCACATACATATCACTCCAATATAGAGTCTGGCTGGATCTCTCCAATGGCTCCACATACATATCACTCCAGTGACCAACTTCATCCGGGGGAGATCTGTGTCAAGTGCAGCCGTGTCACTAGGAAAAGTATTTACTTATCTTTAGCAAAGGAAAGTCTCTCACGTCTTTATTTCTCTGGCTGCAAAAGGCCTTTGCACTGCTGCCACTTGATGTTGTACACCATCTCCATATGCCGCCCTGTCAGCAGTCTCCAATGAGTAACTCTGCCATGAGGGGAAGACGCAAAGCACGCTAATCCCTAACACGTTTCTCCCCAAAGTGGTTCTTCATCAGAGGGGCGTGATCCGCCATTCCTTCAACCAGGTGGTTTTTATATCCGTTCGTAGGTCGATAATTGAAAGGCTCTGTGTGTTCCATTTAATGCTCCACATGGAAGAAAGCACTTCCTGTTTGCACTCCATTTGTTGCTAGGTAACGCATCTAAATCCATCTATTGTCATTTTAATCATAAATCTAGATTTCAAATTCCCTCATCTCTACTACCCCTTTTGGAGGGGGGCACTCCATGTACTTTTATCAGAAACATCTATGCAATTCATAAATCATATCATTGGTTCCTCATGAGATTTGATCTGATGTATACATCTACATTCTTTTTGTAGTAGATATTTATCCCACTTGCCTCCACGGTTTTGTTTGTGCACTCGGTCAAGGACAAAGAAATCACGTTTTTCAATCTTACTGTTGTAAGTATAAACAAAATGTCTTAACACTGGGGATCTCAGGTCACGGGGAGAAATGTCTGCCAAGTGATCTGAGATTCTTCTTTTAAGCATTCTATGAGTTTTTCCCACATAAAACATGTCACACTGGCACATTAATTAACTATACCACCCCTTCCGTTTCACAATTAGCAAAATGTCGACTTTTGATTGTTTGACCTCTTGCCTATAGAGCCATTTGATGGGGTTGATAGCTTTTTAAACGTGTGTGTATATTTATGTGTAGTTTCATACGAGATTAAAAATTGTTCTAATTCTAATATGTTTTTGGATATATTTTTGAGCTCACAATTGGGATCTCGATAATTTGAGGGTATTTCTTTTTCTATATTTGTAAAAGAGACCCATGGGCTATAAGTATCTTATATATGTAATTGCAAACCCCAATCCCTCAATTGTATATAGTAAGCTGGAGAGATCTGTCTTCTTCTGTAAACAATGACTACATATAACGTCTGTACCACTGCAGCTAAAAAAAGATTGAACTTCTTCTAGATTTCAAGACCCATGCATAGCTCAGTTTAGAATTTGTCGGTTTAGGACTCCGCTAGGGAACATGATCACCTATATTTTAGTGTACGAATGCTATCTGTTGAACCACTAAGTGATGGGTATCCTGGTGTGTTTAAGTATGGGCTGATGTCTGTTATTTTTAGGGGTACATCTGTCTGTCTAGGGGAATTCCTAATATTTTCATATGAAATAGTGATGGACAGTAAAATGAGGACTTGCCCCTATGTAAGCAACACTTTATTACATATGTTCCCCATACAATACAGAGCAAGAGAATTCTAACGGAACCTAGGAGAAATCCACTCTCACCAACAAATGTCAGGATGAGGTTCCATGAGAAATAACTTTTTTTAACATATGCTTGTGAATCAGGAAATATGATTGGCATTGTATTTTCTTTATATATTCTATATTATGTTCAAGACTTTCAACAAAATAAGGTAACCAGATTTTCACAATGAAATCCGGAGACACCCTGCTAACCACGCCCACTTGTAACCACGCCAATAAAACCACACCCCCATTTGTAGCCACAAAATCAAGTCCCATTATTAGCATGCCCTGAAACAATTGGTCATGGGCTTCCGGAAGGGGAAGTAGACATTGAAAATGTAAAGACAAAGTGCCCTAGGCACTATAAGGAGTGAAATAATGTGGCGCATCCGCACTGAATCGCGTGCGGTGAAATTGCACTAACAGTGGGAGCGGCTGAAGATGCATGGTTAAATAAACCCAGAGCCTACTCTACTATGGGTCAAGAATATGTAATGCACATAGTGTAGGGATCAGAAGTGTGTAATGCATGGGGTCAAGAGTGCTTGGAGCAGAGAGCAGGAGTATGTAACATACAGAGGGCAGGTGTTAGGAGTTAGACATGTGCAGCGGCTAAAAATATGTTTCGTTTCGGTTTTCGTTTATTTTGTTTTTGGAATTTGGATCCTATATGTGTTTCATTTCGGGAATCGTATTCGGATCTGATTCGGAATTCGTTTCGGATTCGGAATTTGGAGGGATTCACGGAAATTCAACTTGAGGTGGGGTAGTAGAATTGGCACATTTGTCATTTCTGGTTGCTGTGCTCTAGTCTTTACTATTAAAGGGACATTAAAATCCTTCTCCTAATTTGTTTTTATCCGTTTAAATGTGCAGTGCACGCACAGGATTTGGATTAAATTCGTTCCAAATCCAAAATTTCGGATTCGGATGCTTTCGGATGTTATATTTCGGAAATTCGGATGCTCCGAATTTCCGAAATTCGGATGCTCCGAATCTCCGAAATTTCTTTCGACTTTCGATTCGGAATGAAACGAATCGCACATGTCTATTAGGAGTAGGTGGCACATAGAATAAAGAGGTCGGGAGTAAGAAACGCATGGAGTACAGGGGTCATTAGTAGGCAATGCATGGAGTACAGGGGTCATTAGTAGGCAATGCATGGAGTACATGGGTCATTAGTAGGCAATGCATGGAGTACAGGGGTCACGAGTAGGTAATGCATGGAGTACAGGGGTCATCTGTAGGTAACACATGGAATACAGGGGTTATGAATAGGGGACAGTAGCAAGTAACGCAGAGCTCAGTAATAAGTAACGCAGAGCTCAGAGCTCAGTAATAAGTAACACAGGGTTCAGTAGTAACAGAGTTCAGAGCTCATTAATAAGTAACACAGGGTTCAGTAGTAACGCAGAGTTCAGAGCTCATTAATAAGTAACACCGGCTTCAGTAGTAATGCAGAGCTCAAAGATCAGTAATAAGTAACGCAGGGTTCAGTAGTAACGCAGAGAGGAGGGGTCCGTAGTTAATAACACATTGCAGTTCACTGATGCTGGGGATGTTTGTTTCCCGGGACAGACCTGCTAAAATGGGAACTGTAACCTTATGGGGACTAATGATATCCTTATGTCAAAACAATCAGTTTATCTTTTGCTGTCTCTGTAATGTTAGGAAGGTTTAGCATTACTTCCAGTCCTAAAGATTCATTCAACAGGAATTGAGAAGACTTTTCTACAAAGCAATGGGAATGCCCCCCTTAAATTGTTCTCACTGGAACAAATATACCTTTTTTTTTTTTTTAAAGATTTAACACCTTTTTTGTTCTGGTGACAACTATAACATTTTGGATTTCCATTTGCTCTGTCACAGTGAAAATGATCACCAGGAAAATTAGGGAGAGTAAATCAAGCCAACGGAGACACAAACAGCAATACAAACTCAACAAGCATTCTATTCTTCTCACTCAATCCAAAGCTATAAAACAAACAGCGGCCAGAGTGGCATATTTGTTGAACATTGCAGTTACTGCACAATGTTTGCATTATGCTGTCTGCGGCCCCTGGTCCCCTTTTTATTAAAGCAAAGTAGACCAGACCAGACTCATACCCTGGGTAGCTGGCCGCTCGTGTATGGGTGTGATCACACGTATGTCATAAGTTGGCAGCAGTGGGCCCCTGTAAGCAGACTCTCAGCTGCATTAAATGTGTGAAGCCCACTATCGGCTTTACACTGGAAGTGATTTGGGTGGCTGTAAAGCTGTCTGATCATTTCCACAGGTAATTGCACATGCCCCCCTATGCCCAACACCCCCCCACCTTGCTTCCCAGGCTCCGCTGCTCCTCCTGTGAGCCCAGGACCATTATTGTGGGTGTCTGCAGGTACATTGGAGAGAGACCAAAGAACATCCATTAGTTGATCTCCACCCCGTTAATTGAACTCGGAGCCATCATTCCCAGGCCAGAGAGGCCGTGGAAGAAGCTAATCAAGCATGATCTGTGGGGGCTTGTAACTCGCCTATGTGATGGCATTTAGGGATGCACAGATACCAGTGCCGATACTTGCCATTTTCACAAAAACTATCAGGGTTGCAGCTGTGCGTGGGCTCTGGCACTCCACTACTGTCCTGAAATCACTATTCTGGATTGTTTTAGAAAAACTGTCACATGACACTAAACAAAAAGGTATCGGTAATGGTATCGGTGAGTACTTGGACAAGTCTTGGAACTGGAAAAGTGTCAGTACTTGTTCCAAGTACAGTACTAGGTATCTGCGCATCACTAATGGCAATATCATTTTTTTCTAAAGTTAAAATAAATCTAAAAACACCCAACAAATGTTTTCAAAGTCTCTTCCCTGCATACATGCACAGACTAATACAAACACTTGTCAAGTGCACCTATGCATGAAAACGACATGTGCGCCACATGTCGGGTATCATCACGTATGTCCGTTCTTCCCCGATCTGCTCTATGATCACTGAAGCAGGAAGTGCTGTGCAAAAGTTTCCGCCTTCACTTCTTTACAGCCAAAAGTTGGGTTTACATCTACTTGAATTTGTACAGTTTGTTACTTCTTCACTAAAAATAACATATTTTGCACAACTCCTTTCTAGCAAATTAACCCTTAAAAGACATTGCATAAGCCGTAATCATTGAGCAACTTACATTTCCTTGTAGGTTATAGTTCATCGGATGTCCACTTGGACCTGTTCAAAAGTCCAGAAAAGAAAACCCCTGGCTGGTATCTGCCACTGATGGCTCCCAATGAAAAAGGACCAAATTACGCCTGGCTGGACCCATCAAGACTATACTGTAATCGGCATGTAGGTGTATCATAACTACTCCATACCTTCTAAACACAACATTCATTTGAATCAACTACGCAGTCATAATTCACTTTCACTGATTATTTACTGTAGAGTTTCTTTCACACAGCTTTGTTTCCACACTAATGATTTTTAATGGACATTATATTTTTGGATAGAACATGTTTTTACTGCTGTCTGTGTGTCATTTGGGGAGATTTCGCCATTACGTCCTGTCAGGACAAAAAAATGGGAAATCTCTTCTACAGGAACACAAACAAATGCATGATTTTACTGCTGTGCATGACTTGCTGCACTGGTGACAACCAATTTATTTATTTCTTTTATGGGTATCATAGGGTCAGGAAATGAGGGAAGCCTCCCACTCAGTGGCGGTACTACCAGGGTCACAGCTGCGACTGGGCACTGGAGTTCCGTCACTTAGAGGGGGCCCAGGACAGGAGGATGCTAACCGCTAATATCAGTACCGGGACCTCTTCCTCCTGTCCTGGGCTCTGCATGCTTCACGCTGCTCCCCTCACCTTGTTCCGGGCGCAGCGTGAAGAATGATCGAGCCGGTGCAACAGCCAATGAGTTGGAAGCGGGTTATCTCCACCCCCTCATCACACAGAACTGCTGCCGACTGTAGACCTGCCTGTGTTCTATGGAAAGCCCCAACTCCCTGGGTGTCAGAGGTGTGCTGCTGACACGAAGAGGGAGTTATAGGGAGCTGAGATTATGAAGGGGACATGTGAGAGGAGAGTGTGGGGTCAGGGAGCTGAAAGCTGGGGACGAGAAGGGGGGAAGCTGGGCACATGGAAGACGAGGGGGTTTGTTTTTATTTTATTTTTTTTAAGTATCTAATCTTTTTCTTGGGGGGGGGCCTTTATGTCAGCAAACGCCCAGGTGGGAACCATGCCCATAGGCAATCATTGGTTTTCACATGTTGAGCGTTTTACAGCGTGTAGGAACGTGCTGTAAAACGCCCAGGTGTGAACCAGGCCTTAAGGTTAGAACCCCTCCAACGTTTATGAATTTTGTCAATCCCTTTTAGTTTGAGCCCCTGGTTTTTTTTTTCCATGGGATAATAGAAAATGTTTAGAGAGACTGTTTGTCAAAACCCTTTCTAATATTATTTATATGTTCATTAATCCTTCCTTTTAGCTGCCTAGAATTCCGACCTACATATTGGAGGCCGCATGGGCACTCCAACAAGTAGGTGACATGTGTATTCGAACAAGTAAAACATTCTTTAATAGCAAAGGTTCTACCGTTCACAGAGGAAGAGAATTGGTTAACTTTGATTCTGTTATTAGTAACGTACATTTTGTCACATTTGTCACTGGTAGACATGTATGCTTACCTCTCTGCAGCTTGAGTCTTTAGATTCTGCATCTGTGGTGCTTCCTGACCCTATTGGGCACACTATTTGGTATGGGAATACCTGCCCCGCCCCAGTCAACGATTTCTATTACGCAGATAAAACAAATATGTCATCTATATGTAATATAGTTTTAAGTCCGCACATGTACAGAGGATTGATAATAAAATGTGACAACCCATCTGTAAATAATTTTCCCTTTTTCTTCAGGCCCTAAAAGACTGCATTGAAGATTTGCTACAACCGTTTAAGGATGACAAAATTGATTTGGTTGCAGGGATTGATGCCATGGGCTTCATACTGGGTACATATCATGGAACACCTTGAAGATATATTGTGGTGTTTTAGTATCTACACAAGGACAGCAGAAGCCTAATGTATTAGCAGGCAGTTCTATGTCCACCAGCAAGCCCGTGTACAGGACCGGATTTACCCAGGGCCAGTTCCCGCAATGCAAATCCCCCCCGGGGAGAATGCAAACCGGGTTGCAGGGTTGATTTGATTTTTTTTTTTTATTGTTTTCTTTCCTTTTTTTTATCACGTTTTTTTAAAATGTTTAAATGTTATTGTTTTACTTTTTAAATTTGTATTTATTTTATTCATCTTTTACTTTTTTCTTATTTTTTCATTTATATTTTTCTTATTTTTTTAATTTTTTATATTTTTTTTCTTACTTTTTTTTTTAACTTTATTTTTTAATGTAATTATTATTACTTATTCATTTTTTATGTAACTATTTTTTAATATCAAGTGATCTTGGCGACATCGTCAAGATCACTTGTAAGGAAACAAGCGGCTTCCCCCATTCTTCATTTAGCCCGGCTTGTGCAAAGCCAGGCTAAATGTAGAAAACAAATTACCGCCCGGCGCCCGGAACTCCATGTTCCGGGCGTCGGGTGACTTCAAACGTGTGCGGCCCCTATTTTCCGTTCCGCCCCGATGCCAGGCCTCGGTGGCCTTGCCGGAAATCCGGCCCTGCCCGTGTATATGCATAATGATGATAGCACTTCAAAAGGATTGCAAAAGTTGGTTCGGTATAGGTCAAGGGTCAAAGATGTATATTTCATACTGTATAACTATATACATTCTTTTCATCTTCAGAGTAACTATGAAAGAAAAATCTAGATAATCTGAACTGTGCTGCTGTCACTCATATCCTTAACCATTCCGTTGAGTTTTTTGTTTCCAACTTTTTCTTTGAATTTTGTCTCCCCCGTTCTGAAATAGGCGCTGCTATTGCATCACACTTAGGAAAAGGATTCCTAGCGATCAGGAAAGCAGGCCATCTTTGTGTGAAGACACATAGTCAGTCATATGTGGACTATTCTGGCAAGGAGAAAAAAGCAGAGGTTCGGACAGATGCCATCAAACCAGGTAAGTTCCAATGTTGCAGTTTAAAAATATAGAACATTTAAATATTTTGATTGCATCCAGTAATCATTGCACTTCCCATTCCAACAGGTATAAATGTATTTAAAGTATATTTATGGTCAACATAAAAAACATCTTCAGTACGTATTTCCAATATATGCACATTTCATCACGTTTTGTCTCTTTAGTGTTATCAGCCCTGCCCAGTTCACCTCTGTGGACTAGAGAACACCCCGCTATATTATGGTGATAAGGAGTGGAGGTGCTCTGTCGTCCTGACACATTCCCTGTCCTAGTGTGACAATGCTGCTTATCCATTGATACAGTATAATAGGACAGGAAATGGTAGTATCACCAGGTAAAAATATAGGAACAAAAAACCTGAAAAAGGAATATTGATGCAGCTTCCACATCTACATAGTGGTAAGCTGATCTATATTCAATTGTGGCTCTTGGGTTTAGATACACTTTAAAACCTATCTCCAGGTTTAAAAAAAAAAAGAACACCCTTTAGTGGGGCTACCCATGCATTGCAAGGGTTAATGGCTCCTTTATGTCTAGGGGCGTGGTGAAGAGGACTTTTACTTACCTGATCCATGTTGGTGCTGAACTCCCCTCTCTCCCCTGTGCCCTGGCTTTTGGACTGTCCCTTGGCATCTTCAGGTATATTGGAGGGCGATGGACCCTGCATCAGATACCCCCTTCCCATCCAGGCCATTTTTCAGTATTCAGCTCTGCGGTACTTTGACTGACATTTATTTCGTAATGCAACGCTGTACTGAAAAAAAATGTATAATATTTTTTTGGGGACACTGGGGGTTTTATTTTTTACTATATTAAGGAAAAATTCCAGAAAAAAAAAACAAAAAACTGTTTCCCCTATATTAAATGATGATAAAACATTTATTATTACCCAACTTTTTGGTAAAATATAAAAGACGGGGTCACGTCGGGTAAAAAGACACCAAACATGTCAAGCCTTAAAATTGCGTACGCGCATGAAACCTCAAAAAACGATAATACCTAAAATTGACCATAGGTGACGCTTTAAAAGCTTTTACCGCTCATTGTTTAGTGTTATCAGTGATTGATGGCCCTAAAATGATTGCTCTCACTGCGATGTTCGCGACAATATGTAACACGTGTAGTGCAATTGTGGTTTTCACGCGATGGTGCACCGGACGCGTATTTACGTTTATATGTGCGTAAACGTGGGGGTGGGGGACTTAAACATTTTGGGGTTTTTTTTAAACTTTTTTTATATGTGACTTTTATTTTTTACTTTTTTTAAAATTTATATATATATATTTTGCACTTATTGTTATTGCTATTACATAGGGGATAACAATCCCCCTATATAATAGCACAGGTACACTGGCAGGTCCTCTTTATGGAGACATTAGGGGTCTCTAGGACCCCTAATGTCACCTGGGGACCCCAAAAGAAGGTGATGAAGCACAGATCTGCTTCATCAGCTTCTTCTCTCTGGCTATAGCAGCCGGATGACTGACAGGTGAATGCAGAAGTGTAATACACATCACTTCTGCATTAACAGCCCGGAGGGAGATCAGCAAGGAGCTGATCTCCCTCCCTCTTCCTCCTGACGCCCTCCCGGGCCGCAGATGGGCTAGCGGATCCCGGGATTGAAGGTGGGGGGTTAGGAGGGGGGGCGTCGGCGGCAGCAGACGAGAGGGGGGCACACACCAGCACATATACACGATCGGCTGCCTATAGAGCCGCCGATCGGGGATATGTTAAACAGCCGGTAACGGCTCTATACATTGCACGGGTTTTTTCTGCCCGTGCGCGCGCAAGCAACCCGCTAATGCAGCAGTGTCGTCCGTCCGTTTTTTTTCAACCGGTGGAGGGCAACTGGTTAATTTTGGTTGCCCCTGTTTGCCTGACACCTTGTGTCCGGGTTCCTGGTGCCATAAAATCCGGACACAGCATTCAAATCCTGAACTGTCCGGGTGAATCCTGGACAGGTAGCAACCCTAATTGGACGTGATAACGTCACTAGGCCTCTGTCCTTCACAAAGGTCCCCTAGACAAAAATGAGCCGGTAACCCTTGCAGTGCAGGGGTAGCCCGACTGCAAGGGTATCTGGAGATGGAGTTTAGGAAACTGTTCTAGAGGAGTCTAAACGTTGGAATGTGAAGCTAGTACTGTAAGTTTGAGTTTACATTGGCTTTTTAATGTCAGACTCAACCTATAACACATAATGAGTATTTTCCATCTGGCTGTATTAGGCCTGCATATCCTCTTGGTAGATCAGTGGATTGAAACTGGAGGAACCATGAGAGCTGCTATCAAACTGGTGGAAGAACAAGGTGGGGTTGTTGCAGGTAAGAGATAAAATATGTACAACTACTGCTTACAGACACAAAAAGCAAACGGTACTGTTTCCTCTGTAATAGCCAGGAACAGTGTGGCCAGTGTGACTAATCGAATGCTTCACCAGTAATGAACCAGGATTTTGCTTTAATGCATAGGTCTTGTTTTTGATGGCCTCTTATAGCTTGGTAGATTCTTCCTTTTTTCAGATATATACAGTATATTGCACTGCTTAACTGATCAACAACGGCTGAGCTGAAATCTCACCAACCTATTAATTTATTTAAGACATTAAAGTGCTTTAGTTATGTTTAGTTGTTTTAGTTTTGAGTGGAGTGGAGAGGGAATAGAACACCTATATTTTTTTTTAGTAAACTAAACCTGAGATTGTAGTCAATGACGGGAGCAAGTTCGGAGCGGTGGCTAGTTTACAACACACACAGGGACTATGGGGAACAAAAGTAGTCACCCTCCAGGAGGAAGGACAGTGTCGGCACCAATTCAGAGAGGATTTGAGGATCTACAGCCGAGTGATACACAAATAAGATACATTTTTGTTAATAGTTAAGGTACCTGAATGCATTTCTAAGATTTAACTCCTGAGTTTAGGGTCACTTTAAGTTATCAAGACAGTCAGACCTGACAGGTACAGTAACATCAAGAAAGGAGAACAGTTAAAGGAGAACTATGGGGTAAGTGTTAAAAAAGTAAAAACTAGTGTCGTCCCGTGACCCAAAGCTGTAGCTCGCGATATACTGAGACCCCCGCAGCCGAGACGGATCCCAACAATGCTGTCGAGATCCACCCAGCTGTGTGAGTGACAGCGGGCTCTGCCTACCTAGAGGCAGAGCCAGCTGTGCCCACCCCCTCCCCTGACTGTTCCTCTAGTCAGCGCTGGAGGATCAGAGAGGGGAGGGTAGGAATCCCTGCAGAGATGATCGAGAAGTGAGCAAGCGACAGTATGGGTTCGCTCACTTCCCGATCTATAGCGCTGACGTGTGACCGTTTCATTGTCACACGTCGGCTCGAACTATGAGGATGAGTGATTTTCACTCACCTCATAGTTCTCCTTTAACTGCATACACAAAGTGTCATAAATAAGTGCATGATGTGTTAGTCTTCCTTAAGCAGCTCTTCTTTTTAAAGTGTACTTAGAGCAATTTTAACCATGGAGAGTGTCAGTGATGTAACATCAAGCAGCCCCAGGTGTCTTTTTTTTTTTTTCCACTTTAGTTTTCCTGCTGGGCACCTCTGCATCACTATTGGCCTATCAGGGTGATAGACAGACTCTTTCATTGCAGACATGTGCAAGGCTTCGTATGTGCAGCAGAATTAATCCATTTCTCCTGGTGCTTTGTTGTTGTCTTCATCACATACTGTATACACTCCTGGACAAAGGGCAGCCTGATTTGCATCTAATTGTGTTGCCAATGTGCTTGATAATTGTCCCTCATCCTGTCTTTGGTGTACTTTCCTTCAGGTGTTGCTACTATTTGTATTGAAGACAGCGCTGGAGGCAGATGGGTGAGAGAAAATTACAAATGTTCTGACTGTGTTCCCGAAGACCTCAGAAGCCAGTTTAATAGGCAATTTCTGGACAGCTTTAATGCCTTCAGCAGCAAACAGATGAATAAGGAATGACATGCCCACAGAGGAAACCTTAAACCCAGCATACCTGGGATGAGCAGATCTCTTCAATCAGGATGTGAACGTAATGTAACTTACAGTGAATATTATGTTATGATGTGAAAAGTCATAGCCTTCTATGGAGCTAAAAGAGAAGCAGTTAGCTTTGCATGAACACGTGAAGTTAAAGTCCATCGGAGTGAATCGCGTCAGAGGCCTAAATAAAGTTGATTTTAATGCAAGTGACATTATTGGATTGTGTTGGATGCTGATATTTTCACTAGGCACTTTGCACTGTTAGAACCAGACTAAATGTAGTCCTTTATAACTGTAGATAAAATTACCCTGTGGGCTGTATTTGCATAATCAATATATATTTCGTAATGATGTAGTCCAGTGAGGTAATTGTTATTGAAATTAATATTACAATCTGTCAAGCTCTAAAAAATGGCAGTCTCTCATATGTAAATCTGTCTGCTAGCATGGCAGTCTCCTACCAATGGCAGCTGAGGTGGGCGGAGGAAACTGCTGTGGCCGCCGAGGAGCCCAATCGAAGCGGGCACAGATGATGCCAGTCGAGCTTCTTGTTCTCTTCTCCCCGCCGCCGCAGTCTTAAAGTCAGAGCAGTCTTAAAAAGGCCCCCCTCCCAGTCCACATCTTTCGGACGTTATTAATCTGAGTTGCCCCACTCAGTTTGCCCATCGCTTGCGGTCATATTGAGTGGGGCACTAAGATTAATAACAGAGCCGCCTCTCTGAGTGCCCGCTTTGTGGAGCTGAAGCTGCAGCGGTCGGGAGGAGAGAAAGGGATCGCTCAGCGGTGTGATCAAAGCAGTATTAAACTCAGTATGCCCGTCGCTTGCGGCCATATTGAGTGCGGCTGATCGATCCCTCTCTCTCCTCCCGACCGCTGCAGCTTCACGAAGCGGGCAATCAGAGAGGCAGCTCTGATCGCACCTGTCAGCGCTCCCTCTCTCTCCTCCCGACCTCTGCAGCTTCAGAGCGACTGGGAGGAGCGAGAGGAAGCGATAACAGGTGTGATCAGAGCCGCCTCTCTGAGTGCCTGCTTCGTGGAGATGAAGCAGCAGAGGCCGGGAGGAGAGAGAGGGAGCACAGAGAGCTAGTGCCGGCTCTGAATGGGACACTACCGCTGCGGTGATCGTTCGCTTCTGTTCTCTCTTCTCTTTCTCGGCCGCTCTGTAGCTGCAGCAGCCGAGAAAGAGAAGAGTGAACAGAAGCAAGCGATCGCCGCGGCGGTAGTGTCCCATCCCTGGTCCCGCCGGCGGCGCACCCCTCGCTGACATTCCACTTTTTTGAAGTCTTTGATAACATGAGTCTCTCTCATATGGCAGTATTTCTGATAGCATGGTGCTTTCTGTAGTATCATGACAGTCTCTCTGCTATACAGTCTACTTGGGGAAATATCAGCACTCTCCTGTAACACACATCACCCTCTGGTAATAAAAGGTAGCCACCCATCTTTGACCAATTAAAGGTGTAAATTATTCTACTACAGCTTGCCAGTCCTTAGATGTGGCAGCTTTTTAATTTTTTCCCTATATTTTCACTTGGTGAACCTACGAACAACAAACTTCCTTTCCTAGGGTGGCGACACTTACTCCAATGTATCTATGGAGGAGCAGGCTGCTTTCCTGGTTTGGACTACAAGCACATCTTGGGGTGCAGGGCTATTTGTAATTCACAGAAGATAGCTTGGAAGGAAGATAACATTGTTTGTAATTTTAAGTTCAGTTCACAAGAAGTGACAGGGACATTACATTTGTGATGAGATCAACAGGGATTAAATTTTTGTTCTTTTTGGGTCTAGATACACTTTAAAATTTCTCCCCAAGCAATGGTCAATCTACACACCTTTGTGACATCTACAAGCAAACAAATCATGAAAAATGCCACATTTTTGCAAGTCTGCTTTTATCATGGCTGTGGAACTGTATGTAGTAATCATTGGAGTATAAATGTGGTTTTAATTTTTTATCAGACTGTTGTTCTAAAAATTTTGTGTGATTTAAATGGACTGTTTGGTAACATTACAAGTCTGCTTAAATAAATTATTGACAAATTATAGTAAAAGTACCTTTTATTTAAAAAAAAATGTCTCCCTATTGTCATTAAAGGAGAACTATGGGGTAAGTGTTTTTCCCCATAGTTCTCCTAAGGGTCACAGGAGGACACAAACTAGCGTGCTCCTGTGACCCAGAGCTTAGTATACCTAGAGCTACGACTCGCAGTATACTGAGACCGCCGCAGCCGGGACGGATCCCGACATTACTGTCACGATCCACCCAGCTGCGCGATTCACAGCTGGCTCTGCCTATCTAGAGGCAGAGCGAGCTGTACCCGCCCCCTCCGTTCCGCCATTCAGCGCTGGAGGATCGGAGCAGGCAGGGGGGAAGCCCTTCAGGGATCCGAGAGTGACAGTCACGGCTCTCTGCAGGGACATGATCGAGAAGTGAGCGATGGTATGTGTTCGCTCACTTCCCGATCTAATGAGCCGACGTGTGACAGTTTCATTGTCACGTCGGCTCGAACTATGAGGTTGAGTGAAAATCACTCATCTCATGGTTCTCTTTTTTAAAGTGAGCCTATCACCTGATTAAAAAATAGAAAAAAAAAATCCCTGCAAAGGAAGACTTACCTGTACCACCACCTGTTGCTGGAATCAACACTCTATTGCAGAACAAAAGCACCAGCAAACTCTTCACATCCAAGACGCTTTCATTGTGACTGCTGCTTGCTTCCCCCACTGCGCCATGTGCTTCGATCTGCTTTTTCCTACTTGTATTAGTCTGCTGTCAGATATATTGTGTAAGAAAGCAAAGTTTCCAGAAATGGGTATCTGGACAGGTAAGTATGAACATCCCTTTTTTAGTCCAGGAAGTAGATTCTGACCCTGGATAATGGCTGAACAAAATGACTGACCCTGGATGGTGCCTGAACAAAGATGGCTCGTTCCTTTGTAGAAAAGCAGATGAAGGCATTGTCAGGGGAAGTACTGCGTTCTCTGTGAGTAGTAAATAACTGGAAGTCTTACATTTACCAGTATTTAGCATACATACACTTTAAAATAAAAAAAACTATATCTGATGCTGGGTCCACTTTAATCCCATCCCATAAAGACTAGGGATAAGCGAACTGGGCAAAGTTCAGTAAACAGGAGGTTCAGTCTGGAAGGAAGTCTGCAAACCTCAAACATAGTGCTGATGTCATGTACCTGTAAGTGGAGCCCATCAAGACTGGCCTTTTGTACAATTCCTGTCCGTGCACCCCTGGAAGCTAAGGGTGAAGGATAGGCACAAGTGCCTAGGTGAAGGGACTGGTAACTAGAACTTGGGAGCACTGGTATCAGAAGTGCAGGGATATGCAGGCAGTGAGATACAGTGTCGGTAAGCATAATATTGGTCAGAAGTCCAGGCCAAGGTCGGGAACATATGCGAACAGCAATCATAAGCACACAAGGGAAATCCAGGGGCAGGTCAGCAGGAAGCCGGGTCAGCAATGAAGGTCAGGCACACGTTCAGGATTGGAGATCATCAGTCACTGGAATACACAATGTAAGTCCATTTTGCAATGAGGTTATGCAGAACTCAGGTTTAAAGGGTCTGCTTGGCGCCAATGCCGGTGGTAGGGGTGCACCGATGTTTAGAATGTGCTATTATGTGTTGACACTCTTTAGCTTGCTAATCTGTGTGTACTACGTCATTTGTCTATTTAAGCCTCCATGACCACTCAACACTGTGGGGGCCAGTACAGTGCACTACAGTCCTGACAGCACTTATTCATAAAAGAACACTCAGCGCTGCAGGGCTATGTGATCTGTCTGCTGGGGCTGCTTGTAAACACAATCCCAGCAGATAGATCACAGCCCCCAGCACTGAGTGAGGTTTTATATGAATGCTGAGTGCTGTCAGGGCTGTGTAATACACTGTACTGTCCCCATTCGCACTGAATGTACATTCATAAAGGATCACTCAACACTGTGGGCTCTGATCTATCTGCCGGGGCTGTGCTTACAAACAACCCCAGTGGGTGGACCACAGCCCTGCAACTGTGAGTGCTCTTTTACAAATGAACAATCAGCACTGTTGGGGCTGTGTAATAGCGGTACTGCTGCCCTGTATGTTTACAAGCAGCCGGCATGTCTATCATAAAGCCCTGTAGCAAGGATTGTTCATTCCTTATAGTAAATGAACAGTCAGATAAGAGAGGGGGCTGGGTTTAATGCTGGCTGTACCTCCCTTCACAGAAGCACCCATAATTTAGGCTTCAGGGTGGAAGTGAGCTACAGCCAACAATATATAGAGGTGGTTTTTCCCCGCGATGGTGCCACTCATCCACACCAGACCAAGTGCTTTATGTAATTGTTTCCCAGTGGATAAAATAAAATTCCTCATGAGACTTATTCTTTAACCAAGACAGAGAGTAGGCCTAAGTTGGTGAATTTTGGGCCTGTGTCAATGGGCAAATACAATGTGCTTTTGACATCAGTTTTATTTGAGATCATTCAGTATTCAATGACAGGTGAATCTGACCTGCAGTTTGTCACCTTCTGACCTGAATTTGACCTGCTTCAAACTGCTTTTGTATGGGAGAGATAAACAGTTCTTAAGTGAGCAAAAGCCCCTTGACACTGGCCCTGATAAAAAATGGTCAGGGACCACAGTCTAAGCACCCACAGATGCTGCAGTCTATTTTGACTTTATTGCAGCAAAGGCCGAGCAAATGATTTGCCTGAGGTTTGTGTTGAACCATGAAGCCCAGTGATAAAGCTTCTCTAGACAACGTTGATGAGCGTTCTGAGTATGAGAACACACGCTGAGTATGCTTGTATGTAGGAAGCTTAACTAAATGTATTTGGCAAATGTGAGATACTTTTCCCGGTATTTTAATACCACAAAATCTAATAATAATAATAATAATAATAAAATATAATCTAAATTAAAAAAAAAAGAATCTGCCCAAGGCTCCACCATGTCTGCTTCCTAAATGAACCGATGAATAA